CACAACGAAAACTAAGCGACATGATATGACTAAATTATTTAGCCTAACCTGTTTGAATATATATATATATATATATATATATATATATATATATATATATATATATATATATATTTTATAGTTTTATGGTATGCTATATTCATGGGATAAAGTGTTCAATATCAGAAATAGTACGTATGTAAATATAAAAGTGAACATTGAACCAACACTCAGAGGCGACAGACTGTTTCATGCTAAACACAATCATCAGGTCACATGCGTTATGTTTTTTGTACACTATTTATATATACGGGTCAGTGGTTCATTGTGGGTAGGCTAATACATTGCGGGTAGTCTAATGTATTGTGGGTAGTATATTATAACGGTTATTTTGGCAGGAGTAGTTTGTTAATTTGGTTATTATTTACATTATTTATTTATTTGGATTAATTTATTTTATTTATTTTTGCTTACTTTATTTTATTTATTTTTATTTATTCTTTTCAGTTTTTGATTTTAAGTAACGTAGTAAAAATCGTTTTCGTGTTTGCATTTTGAAATGATTTCTGTTCGGTTATTTAGTAGTTTGTTTCGGTCTGAGAAAGTAATTATAGCTATTTCTTCCGCCAAACCAGAGTTTACAGTTTTAGGATTGATTGTTGTAGGCTGATGTTCTTTTCCTTATTTTCAATATTTTTGGTGTGATTTATTTTTAATCTCCCAAATATGTTTAGTGAGCATTGTGCTGTTTGGGTATTTACTATTTGTAAATGATTTTATTTTTGTGTGTGTAGTTTCTTTGCTTCCAGGGTCCTTCAATTAGTCCGATGTATATTATCTCGTCGTTTCTGTCTTTGCTTTTGTTGAATATCTTGTGGAGAGTGTTTGATGCGGGGGAGTGTTTGGTGATGACATTAATGAATATTTTCCCTGCGTAGGAAAAATATTTAATGTTTAATGAATATTTTTTTACTTGTAAAGTGGTTACTGAATGGCATTGCAAAGATTGGACTTGCTTTCGAATCTTATCAGGATCAATTTATCGTAATCATCCGACACGATTAGAAAGGACTTGTTCACGTTTCCCGCGTCTTGCCAGACATTTCTCACAATGCTTTTATGCACTACATCCTTCCAAGGCATAGACGATAATAGCCCTATAGAACATCTTGCCTTTTGTTGCTTGATGTATTTTTTTTAAAACCTTTACCATCCCCTTTGTCTGCGCTCTGACATCTATTCATGCAAACACGTTAGGGTGGTTATTGGGTGTTTCTACCTACTTTTTCGGCTTTCACTACGCCCTGTTAGTGTTGAATTTTCTTGACTCCCTTTCCTCATTCAAAATCCCAGAAACTATATATATATAGTTTATGCAAACTTAGGTAATCCGTATGGGTAGACCCGAGGAGGATGATATCCAGAGAGCTCAATGTAAAATTCAGAGTAGATATGTTTGAATAAAAAAACAGACCATGTTAAGATTCCATGTCCATGGAATCTTAAAGTGGTCTGTTTTGTTTTTTATTTTTATATATATAAATATATATATATATATATATATATATATATATATATATATATATATATGAAGAAATATAGTTTTAAGGTGAGCTATAATTATTGGATAAAGTGCTCAATATCTGAGGTAGAGCATATTTAGATATAAATATAAAAGTGAACATTGAAGTCAACAGTCAGGGGCGACAGGCTATTTCATGGTGGACGCAATCGGCGGCCGGACGATTGCATCAGTATGAAACACCCTGTCACCTCTGAGTGTTGACTTCAATATTCACTTTTACACATTATCTATCTATCTATCTATCTATCTCTCTCTCTCTCTCTCTCTCTATATATATATATATATATATATATATATATATATATATATATATATATTATGAAAATTAATAGTAAAAAGTGGAAAAGCATTTTCGTGTGATATAACGTGTTTTCATCGATTAGGACATCATCAAACTAAAGTAATGTTTACGTTGATGTAATTGCACATGCACCCGAAGGGGAGGAGTTTTTGAAAAACTGAATTTAACAGTTTAAGATTTCTGTGTGCGCTCCTATTTTTGAGTACGTGTAGTTACATTAATATAAAAATCATATTAGTCCGATAAATGTCAGTACATGTAGGAGATTAGATATTATTTCTCTGTTTTTTTTTCTTTTTTTAGTGAAATTTTCTGATTTCTTAATACTTTACATAGTTTCTGGAAGACATCTTTCACTATTCCTATTCGCATTCGAATTTCTGTCTCATATTTTCATTTCATCTCATACATAATTTATTAAAAGATAAGCTATGCTAGCACGTAAAGTCAACAAAGAAAACACATAAAAAATGTTCTCTTTTTATAAGTTCTATTTCGATTTTTTCACCATTTGCAGTCACTATTTTCTGTTTTTTTAACAAGTTTTTTTCTTTTCTCTTTTAGGTAAGCCTCTTTCTAGGACATCTTCAGAAATTGGAAGCCGATAAATGAAGGTTTGCAAATTTGATTTTGTTCTCAGCGTACAACGTTCGATCTGGTCAAATTAAAAGAAACCAATCAGAGAAACTCAAGAAACATTTTGGGTTTTCCTCAAAATCTAAAGCAAAAAACATTTCAAGAAAACTCGAAAGGTTTTTAAAACAGTCACAAAACTGGGGTTGCGAATTATTCAACGAGGTTTAAACACACTATACGAGCAATGAATAATGCTTGCTTGCTACAATCTGACCACAGATGATGCTCCACGATATCTTTAAGTTTAATCTGATCGAGAGCTACAACGGGGTACTGTCAGTTGTCTACAAAACTAGTTTTGTAACCATCCTTGTATGGCAGTTGCCAATATAGATCAATTTATCTTAATTTGTATTAGGAGTGTCATTCTAGAGCAAGTTGAAGACCGAATTCATTTAGTCCTGGGTATGACGATAAACTACGTCCAGCAGCATAGCTTCTGATCAGGAACCACCTCTTAATTGCTGGTGTTCCCAGGTCAACCCTGACACGGGGTGGTAGCACCTGTTAGGATCCCAGCTATGGGCAATACTTAACACCCAAACTTGTATAAGCGTCCTGGGTATGACGATAAACTACATCGGTGTCCAGTATAAGACGATAAACTACGTCCAACAGCAAGGCTTCTGAACAGGAGGCTTTGAGGAACGTGGGATCACCTCTTCCCAGGTCCACCCAGAACCGGGGTGGTAGCGCCTGTTAGGTTCGGAGCTATGGGCTAATAGTTAACCTCGAAACTGAGGTAAAAAGTATTATAAAAGTGTAAAACTAGGTTTTAATAACAGAAATAATTTGTAAAAAATTATTACCAGAAATAAATGTTTGAAGAAACAAAAATATTACGCGAAAAAAAAAGATATCGGCTTTAAATGACCCATTTAGGTTGATAATCCGTAAAACAAAACAAACCAAAGTAAAACAAACCAAACCGAATTCATTTCAGTCGTAATTCTTCCTCTGACTACTCCTGTCAAATTCCCAAAATATTATCTTCATTTTGCTTAGCAAGCACAATAGACAAGTTGCTTTTTTCACTCTGTTTCGAAAATCAACATTGCACTCGGCGTGAAAGCTGTGATTTGATGTAATAAGTATGGCCACCAAAAATTAGATTCATAGCTTTTAAAACTTTTTAATCCATATTGTTATACAGATTGGCAGATAAATGGACAGAAATACATAATTTTCGCAGGTTTCTGCTTACAAACAGAATTTTAAGAGATTTCATGTTTATACATTCTTTTTATAGATACAAATATTTAAGTAAATGCTCTGTTTATAATAAACAGTATTAAACAACATTTACTGGCCAGAATGTCCGAGAAATTTTCATAGAAAATATTCGTCCACCAACAGGATTCGAATCTGTATCCTATACGGAACCGTCATTTAGCTTGACGTGCCCATTTGGCCACAGATGAGCTTTCGGTTGGCAAGGTCGATTTTACTGTTTTAAAACTACAATTTTCCATGATTCTCTCACGTACATTCATATCTGCTCGATGCGTATCCAAATGTAAACAAATGACGTCACACATTATGAACTGGACAAAGTCCGACAATTATTTTAAGACATTTTTATACTTATACATTCTTTTTTATAGATACTAATATCAAAGTAAATGCTTTGTTTATAATAAACAGTACTAACAACATTTACCGGCCTGAATATCCGAGAAATTGTCATAGAAAATATGCGTCCACCGACAGGAATCGAACCTGTATCCTATACGGAACCGTCATATAGCCTGACGTGCTTTTACCGATTGAGCCACATTTTAAAAACAGAAAAATCGTCCTTAGTAACCGAAACTCTCATCTGAAGTTTCCAGAGAGTTCTAGAAGGTACCAGAACATCTTAATACTAATATATGCATATACGATTTTAGAAATTTCGTGCTGGGAATGACATTTTTTTAACAATAAACTGAATTAAATCCTACTTTCTTTTTTAAAATAAAAATTCATCGAATTATGATACACGAAATCAATTATTTTACAACAACTCAAAATGTAATAAACCTGAGGACTACTGCTGTGGCGGCGGGGGGGGTATATCCTGTGGATAACAAGACTTAATCTTAAACAGCGTTGGAGGAATCTCTTCAGTGTGTCTAGATATCAGCGGTACACAATCCATGTTTACCGGAAGATTAAAAGATACGTCAGCACACAGGCATTGTAAATTGCTATCATTCTTAAATCTTCCTTGAGACCAGAGTGGGTCTCTTATAGCTGCAAAACAACAGTCGTCTTCTTCACACGTGCATATATGGTCAAGAGGTCAGAGTCTACCTACATTTCTCTTAAGGTATGTGTATTTGGCTATCACAATTCAGTTTGTGGCCATGAACAAATATGTAAGGTGGACGCGTAGCAGGTTGGAACATGACTACTGCCTTGTCCAGGCTGATAGTAAGGTCGAACGCTTTACAGAAACGGGAAAGGTTATTCACCAGAGCCTGCATTACCTGTTTAGTTTGGGTGAGCAAGTGACACTCATCGGCATAGGGAATGGAATGCCTTGGATTTAGATAGATAGATAGATAGATAGATAGATAGATAGATAGATATTAACAGACTGAGATAGATAGATAGATAGATAGATAGATAGATAGATAGATAGATAACAAGCTGATAGATAGATTGATAGATAGATAATGAACAAACTGAGATAGATAGATAGACTAGAAGCTGATCGATAGATAGATAGATAACAAGCTGAAAGATAGATAGATAGATAGATAACAAGCTGAAAGATAGATAAATAGATAGATAGATAACAAGCTGATAGATAGATAGATAGATAGATAGATAGATAGATAGATAGATAACAAGCATATATATATATATATATATATAGATAGATAGATAGATAGATAGATAGATAGATAGATAACAAGCATAGATAGATAGATAGATAGATAAATAACAAGCAGATATAGATAGATAGATAGATAGATAGATAGATAGATAACAAGCTGATAGACAGATAATGAACAAACTGAGATAGATAGAGAGAGAGAGAGAGAGATAGATTAGAAGCTGATAGATAGATAGATAGATAGATAGATAGATAGATAGATAGATAGATATGAGCAGGTTAGAATACACGCGTAGTGCTAGGCGGAGATTATTTCGCGACATGCTAAGTTTCATGTCTGAAATGACTTCCTTGAGATTTATTTATATTTTATTTGAATTTAGATATTCTTCTTGTCAGCAATGGAAGAAAAGAAAAGAAAAGAGTAAAATCGAGAAAAGAAGTACAAGAAAAGACCAAAGAAAATCAAGAAATGATTATAGAAAAGCAAAGAAAATGACCAAATAAATGGAGAAAATAATGAAACAGTAGAAAATGTCTAATTATAAGAGAATCCAAGAAAAATGTCGACCGTCTCAGCGTATACTTTGACGTTTTTTTTTTTCGGACGAAACAAACCAAAATGGCTCGATATTAAGAGAGGCAATGGTTGCGATCGGATTACTAGCACATGGAAATAGACACTTTGGCGCCAACTGAAAATAAGCTTGCCTTACTTACTGTCACATCAATTCTATTCCGTTAAAAATCCACTCTTCATCGTCATGTGACTCAATGTCTGATAACATTCCACCTACTTTCCTCCAGAAGACACTCTTTTAAATACCATAAATTCGATAATAGCAAATTGGTAAGACAAGATTGGAATGTCGTCTGTGAGATATTTGCTTATTTGTGGGTCAAGACATAGCAATAAATATTTTATTCAATCACACAGAGCATGCAACTACAAGCATGTTGTCTGCATTTCAAAGACAGCATTGTCCGACGGGACAACATTTACAAGAATAGGTGCTACAAAATTTTGAATGTTGTTACTTTGGGGCCTATCTTAAAAATAAGCTGGACACCTCGACGTGGGGTAATGGTTACAAAGATTGTCTCGCTAGAACAATTACGACTGAGTAGTGAGTTCGATACTCACTGGGTGCACCATACTTTAGGCCTTGTGCCACATCTAACCGACGGTTGGAAAATCGCTATCTTAAAAATAAGCTGCACCTGATACATGACTGAGGAGGCAGATTTTTCCCGCTTTAGGTTGCCATTTCTTTCTGCGGTAGACCAGTTGCCATCCAAGGCTATAGAACTCGGTCTGTACTGTTATTTATCCAAAGCTGGAGGGTGAGAAGATGATTCATACCTTTCCTAAGGGTATTAGCACGTAAATGAATGTAAAGGATTCGAATAGGAATGGTATGAATCCTCATCTTCTCTCGCTAGCTATGGGTAAATAGCAGAACAGACCGGGTTCTATAGCCTTGGATAGCAATTGGTCTACTGCAGAAAGAAATGGCAACCTACTATGGGAAAAAAACCTGCTTAGTCAGTCATGTATTGAAAGATACATGATCGCCTAAGCGTGTATGACGCGTGGCACATAACTGACTTAACATTGCTCGGAAGCTATGGGTAACTAGCAGGACAGACCGGGTTCTATAGCCTTGGATAGCAATTGGTCTACCACAGAAAGAAATGACAACCTACTGTGGGAAAAAAAACCTGCTTAGTCCGTCATCTATTGAAAGATACATGATCGCCTAAGCGTGTATCACCCATGGCATGTAACTGACTGACTGAACCTAATCTGTTTAGTCGCGGAAAGACAATGCTGAATTTATTAACACTGCACTTTCACATGCAACCAAATTTGTACCCCAGTTTTAGGAATCTGTTTCTGAAACTGTAGTTACAATGTTTCCTTTTAGACAACTTTTATTAATTATTTGTGATTTTTGTATCCATATTTATAGAGCTACGAAAGCTACACGTCGAAATTAAATCCAGATATTTGAAAATTAAAATAAAAAAGTCCACAAATGTAATAGGAAATAAATATTTTCAAATGACAATGCTTTATGCTCAAAATGAGAGTAACTTGTTATAGTACTAATGATATATTCGAACTAGTATATTAGTCCTTGTTTTAATCAGCATTTTATTTTGTTCTCTGGTGTTGTTTTTTTATGATTCTCTTATTCATTCTTATATTTCATGGATTATTTGGATGAATATCTATATAGTTTTTTACCATAAGGAACGGGTAAAATAATTCGTTCAAATTGTCACATATCGAATTGGTGCAAATAAAAACTGTCCTAACGGCTTCTTTTCTTGCTTGTCCCACTCTCCATGTCATTTTTTTTCTCTCACAATCGTCGCGAAGGAAAAATGAATTCGATAAAGTCGTAATAATTAATTCTCGACACGCACGTAAGTTTTTGCTCATTATTCAATTTCTTTTCACTGTTTTCTGTCCATTGACTAACATTTCTATATGGCTGCGCAGAGAAATGCGTAGAAAAGAACGATCCATTCGACAAGGGAATCCCTTTATTTGCCTGCATTAAGCAACACAGAATTGAAGCAGAAATTGTCCTCGACAAAACAGAAAGCATTAATAAATTAAATCGACATTTTTTTCTTCAATCTGCAAAAGTAATCATGAGAAAATAATTATTCTTTGTTTTTACTATTTTATTAAAGAACAAATCTAGAAAATTCTTAAATCGACTTCCCGATTCTCTGCAGTCCATGGAGGTTTCCCAGTTTCTGTGGATGGTAATGCAAGCCTCTCACTACTTTATTGTTATTTGCATGGAAAATGTTCATATGATGAAATTCATTCTTTAGTTCCACCAGTTCTGACCTTGCCTTCTAAGAGAACCACCTTCATTTCTTTCGTATTCTATTTGTGACATGTAAATTCCACTCGATCAGCTCTCCCCAAAGGCCGCAGCTTTGTGGAACGAACTCCCAGGTCACTACAATCGGAACGTATTCAAGTCTCGGGTGAACTGGTATCCTCCCCATATATTTCCATAAACTGACCCACTTATTCTGTAACCTTCTGCCTCGAGAGGCTCTTGCGCCTTATAGAGGTTGAACAGATTAAAACTTTCTTTAAACTATTCGTAAACATTACTTTGAATTATAAATTGATAGATCGGGACGAGAATCACGGGATAGGAGACATACTGGCAGGAGATGAGGAATTTTCCTAACACACAATTTTGTCATTCATTCTGGCCTGAAGACACGAAACTTAACAAATGTGTAATTTATAATCTCTTCATTTTCCCTCATCATCTCTCTCACTCTTTCTCTCTCTTTCTCTCTCTCTCTCTCTTTCTCTCTCTCCGTATATATATATATATATATATATATATATATATATATATATATACCGTATATTTCCGCGTATGATATGAACTTTAAATCCCAAAACGCAACCCTAAAATATGAAGACGTCTTATACTGCAATTCTAAAAAGGAAACCTTAAATTAGGTTTTCAGTAGGCTAATCCCGGCCTCGTGCGATAACCAATAATGTACATGAAAATATTAAAGTATCAAATAAACTGATAAAAGTAATAAAACGATTTCTACTTCATATATCGCTGGCATAACTTCATAATTCCCCTAATTCCATATGGATGAAATCAACTTCTACCCATGAAAGTGAACAAGTCTCGTGGCCTGACGATTGCGTCTAGTATGAAACAGCCTGTCGCCTCTAAGTGTTGACTTCAATGTTCACTTTTATATTTACAGACGCTCTATCTCTGATACTGAGCACTTTAGTGTATTTGTGTGTGTCTGTGTGTGTACAGAAATAGTTTATTTTTCACTTGCCTATTCCAAGTCGTGTATATTCATAGTATTGTTTCAATATATTCAGGTCATGTTATTAATTGAGAAACACTTTCTTTTCTTAGTTGTTCAGTTCCATTGAAATGAGTGCCATTGTCCGTTGAATTTCTAAAGTAGTATTTGGCACCGTTATACAAGACAGAATAATGCTCTACTCGAAGAGATTCAGGAATTAGTGTGAAGTGATCATCCCCGTATGAAAAACTGGTGACGTCAAAGTTAATCATTTTGTCAAATCGAACGGTGCCAACAAAATGTTATTGAATGACTTGAATGCAAGAGGTTAGTGACCTTTGAAGTTGCTAACAAGATGCAATTATTTGGAGAACCGTCAACTTTGTGTCGATCATTAGTTTCCAGGCTTCAATTCAATCATAACTTCATCATATTACTTAGATATTTAAATGTTTCTGGTTGTATGAAAAATGTTCTCAGTTGCGTGGAACATGGCTCAACTGAGAGTCTCGTCAAACATTACAAAAAACGTTTCAGACCATCTTTGCTTATTTCAAATATTAAATTAATTAAATTGAGCCACATGTATAAAAAAAAACTAGTGAGGATAGAGCCGACAACATCAGTAGCAGTTTGTAGTCTGCGTCCTATAGATTTATTAAACTTGGTAGTGGTCTTCAGTAGTAAATCATCCAGTGAATTCGCTAGTAAATGGTGGACGTAATTAAATGACTAAATGTCAATCAACGGTGATCATAGATAGATAGATAGATAGATAGATAACAGCCAGAGTGATGGAAAGAAAGAAAGAAAGAAAGAAAGAAAGAAAGAAAGAAAGAAAGAAAGAAAGAAAGGAAGGAAGAAAGAAAACAACGAGAAAAAAAGACATGAAGTTGATAGATAGATAGATAGATAGATAGATAGATAGATAGATAGATAGAATGGGATAGAAAGAGAGAGAAAGAAAGAAAGAGAGAGAAAGAAAGAGAATGAGATAGATAGATAGATAGATAGATAGATAGATAGATAGATAGATAGATAGATAGATATAAACAGAAGTGGATAGAAAGAAAATAGAAAGAAAGAATGAGATAGATAGATAGATAGATAGATAGATAGATAGATAGATAGATAGATAGATAGATAGATAGTTTTACGCTGTTGCCTATCTTTGCACCGTATTTATCAAACGCTTCGCCTCCAAGCGCCTTTCCTTTTTCATGCTTTAATTAATCACATAAAGCAATGTGTTTGAAAACTACTAGAAATACACATAGCCGTCATCACCAGCATTGATTCTGACTTTCTTTGGTAATAACCCCCACCTCTTCGGACGCACACATCCAGTTCACAATGTACGCTGTTATCGACATGTATGTGTATGCCAACGGAATACTTGTGTACAAACAACTCTGCCGATAGACAACGGCCAAGATTCTTTGACCTTCTGAGTCGAAGACACAAATCAATGACAATTAATTACAAAACCTCCAACTGCCTTTGGTCGTCAGGATAGAAAGAAAGAAAATTTTTCTCTAATTAGTAATATCAGAGGAAATTGATTGTGTAAACCCCTCTTCCTTCTATCTTCCAAATCAACCACTGTCCACCTTTACTCAAACACTTCAAAACCTTAGCCACACCAGTGATATTAATGTTTTGGCTATGATAAAAAAAAAGAAAGATTAAAAACAAAATATCTGACCAATCTGCCATATATTCCTGTCAGACATCTCAGTGACCGATTGACGTCTCTGTAATGACATTTGGAAGGTGGAAAGAAGATGATGATGTACACTCAGCATTTCATCAAAAGAAAATGCTTCGTCTATAATTAGGATTATCGTTTGTAAACAAGTGGCATTGCATGAACGGTAAGAAGAAAAGAAGGTACTAATTAGTCAAAGAGAAGTTTCAAATGTTTACAACAGTTTGTAAAGATGAGGAAAGTCTTTTAGATACTTAACCAATTGAAGATCAATGATTCCAACGAGGGGTGGGATTCCAAAATAACGCAAAGCCTTCGGTCATATATGAAACAATTGTCCAAAGAATCCTTAACAATAAACAAAATTCGGTCTTTTCTGTCCATAAATTATAATGATTTAACCCGATGCGAATTAACACTCAGTCAATTATATGCCATGCGTCATACACGCTTAGGCGATCATGTATCTTTCGATACATAACTGACGAGGCAGATTTTTCCCGCGGAAGTTTGCCATTTCTTTCTGCAGTAGACCAATTGCCATCCAAGGCTACAGAACCCGGTCTGTTCTGCCATTTACCCATAGCTTCCCAGCAATGTTAAGTCAGTTATGTGCCATGCGTCATACACTCTTAGGCGATCATGTATCTTTCGATACATGACTGACGAGGCAGATTTTTCCGCAGTAGTTTGCCATTTCTTTCTTCGGTAGACCAGTTGCCAGCCAAAGCTGTAGAACCCGGTCTGTCCAGCTATTTGCACATAGCTACCGAGCAATATTAAGTCAATTATGTGCCATGCGTGATACTCGCTTAGGCGAACATGTATCTTTCGATATATGACTGACGAGGCAGATTTTTTTCCCGCAATAGGTTGCAATTTCTTACTGCGGCAGACCAGTTTCCATCCAAGGCTATAGAACTCGGTCTGTCCAACTATTTACCCATAGCTTCCGAGCAATATTAAGTCAGTTATGTGCCATGCGTGATACACGCTTAGGCAATCATGTATCTTTCAATACATGACTGACGAGGCAGATTTTTCCCACAGACCAGGTCAGTCCTGCTATCTGTGAGCTGGGGTGAGAAGAAGAGGATTCAGTTATATATCGAAAGATACTTGATCACCTAAGATTATATCACGCATAGCACATAACTGACAGATCAGGTTTGTTCAGCTTATTTTTCAGATAGTCCCAAAAGTAACAACATTCAAAATTTTCAGACATTGGTGTACAAATATGGCTGTATGTGAAAGTGCAGTGTTAATAAATTTAGGATTGCGTTTCCTCAATTAAGCAGATCAGGTTCAGTCAGTCAGTTATGTGCCAGAAGAAAATAACGGATTCGACTGGAATTCGAACTCGGCTCTCCGATTCCTCACGCCTAGGTGCTTTCCATTACTCCATTAACACTACTGATTGTATGCGCAATGTTATTAGTAGATAGATAGATTCATAAATGGTACAATATTAAGGAAATGAATTCCTCCCGAATGATTCCTGCCAGATATGCTTTTCAACAAATATGGAGATATCGAGTAATTTCTCCAAGAATCTATCAAACCAAAGCTGGAATCGCTCTTTAATGATGGAGAACAACATTTATATAAAATATTAGAATGACGCAGAAAGCAGTGAAAATAATTTTTAGACTTCATAAGGATTATGTTGACAGAATTCCCATCGAGATAATGTACTTCCATGGTTTGCTTAAGTCTCTTTATTTTTGCTTATCTTTATTTTATACGCGTCTATATTGGCACGTTTGTATCTGTGTATCGATGTATTTATTGGAAGAACTTTAGATATTTACATATATTTACGCTAAACATTTCAGAGAAAATGGAAAATGAAAGTGAAACTTAGTGCTGAAATTGACATATTTTCTCGAAAAAAATTGACAAATTACTAGAAAATGTTTCCCATTTAAAAAGGAACGTATTCAATCCACTCATATATTTTTTTTACCCAATTCAAGATATTTTCTGTCTAACGACCTCATTCTTTTTTATTACACATAGGTTCATATCTACTTATCTACATTTCTATTGATATGAGTCTATTTAAAAACACATCAACCAGCTCACCTAGTAACATTTTACTAACATACTCATTTTTTTTATTCCACTCTACTATTTATCAATATATATATATATATATATATATATATATATATATATATATATATATATATATATATATTAATCAATCATATCTATCTCATTCCGTTCATATCTATCTCTGTTCCTATCTATCTATCTCATTCTGCTCATATCTATCTATCTATCTACTATATATATATATATATATATATATATATATATATAATTCTAATCATATATATATATATATATATATATATATATATATATATATATAATTCTAATCATATCTATCTATCACAATTCGTTCTCTCTCAGTCTGTTCCTATCTATCTATCTATCGATCGATCGATCGATCGATCGATCTTTCTAATTCTGTTCATATCTATCTATCTATCTATCTATCTATCTATCCGTCTGTCTGTATGTCTGTCAATTACATTCATGTCATATCTATTATTTTTTCAATCACATGCAATCTTTTCATTTAAATTAAAACATCGATATATATATATATATATATATTATATATATACGTGTGTGTGTGTGTACATATGTTTATTAATATTCCTATATCTCCCGTTCTAACATGTTTCTATCATTGCGAGTGTCTTTATTTCTATCTATCTATATGTATTGATATCGATTAATCCAGTGAAATAGAATCGATCCGAATTGTTTATTTTCATCTGTGGAAACTGGAAGACCTTGACGCCCGATGCTCAACAGCACAAAAATCCGTACGAATGCTTATCCTGTTCGAAAGAGAGTCACTCATCCCCAAAACAGAAGGACTCGTAGAATCTCATCGCCATTTCTTTTTTTTCTGCTCTCTTTTGAACGCATCTCTTCTTCCTTTTATTTGTCACTCGATTCCAAAACCGATAATTTTGATCGAGATTATTTCATTCTTTATTTAAAACATTCCCCTTGCTTCACTTCCAAAGCCCGAAATTCTCCTATTCCGACCCCGACGCCCCACACCCTTTTCTGTTACTTTGAAGGAGTGAACATTTACAACAACAACAACAAGAAACATTTTTACTGCAAGAAAAGCACAGAAGAATTATAGAGATTCGACCATTCTGCTTTTTAGAAACTCCCATTTCTATTTCATCGATTTATTTTTTTTTGTCTTTTTTCTTTAATTTTTGTCTTTCTCTTTTTATCTCTCAGTTTGTACTTTCTCTTCTTTTTTTCTTTCTTTCCTTGCATCTCTCTCTCTCTCTCTCTCTCTCTCTCTCTCTCTCTTACATATTTATTTTGACCCTGTCCCTTTTTCAACAACGCCTATCGATTCATGAGTACTAAATATACATACACACATAGATACAACAGCGCACATATGTATGCATATATATATATATATATATATATATATATATATATATATATATATATATATATAAAAAGGTGTCCATAAAGTTCATTGTGCACTTAAAAATTCATAACTTTATATGTATTTGTGATAGAAATCATTTGTAAAAAGGATTAGAAAGAAGTAAATCTATATATTTTTAAGGTTTTATTGAAATTTTATTTAAGTTTCCACATGTCCTCCATCATTAGCAATACAAAAGGTAATACGTTTTTGCAGTTCAAGGAAAATATTTGCCAACTGATTTACAGTAATGCCTGAAATCACATTAGTTATTTTAGCTATAGTTAAAACTAGGTACATTAAACTGTATAACATTTTTTACAGATTATTTCTATCGCAAATATAAATAAAGTTATAAAATTTTTAAAGTGCACACGAATTTTATGGACAACCTGTATATTAATTGCTATATTTATGGGTGACGTATGCTCAGTATCGGGTATATATTGTTTGTAAATAATTGTGTACGTAGAAATTAACATTAAATATTGACTGTCAATTTCAAACATCAAACGATCATTAGACAATATATAACGAATTCAATAGAAAAGGTCTCCCTCTTTAATTTTTTATTGTATTTTTAAATATTTTTTTAATAAGATCAGGATCTGAATTATGGCTAATCTGTCCGAATTTCATTTTTTCATTTTTTTTTTTTTAGTACAATAGACCGTCTTATTCATTATCAAGAACTGGGTGTTGTCAGTGTGGTAGATAAATCTTTTCTTGGTTACATCCTTTCGTTTTGGGAGGACGCTGGGATTCAAATTATTCCAAAGTGAAGTCATACGTAAAATGATTAGAAAAAGCTCCTTCTCACTAGAGAAGAATCTATATCACCTAATATTAAACCAGAAGGTATTTTAGAAGCATTTTAAACATTCGATATACATTTTAAGATACCACCTTCGATGGTGAAGGTTATTTTAATTAAGGGTGACATTTGCGCGAAAGTGAAATTAATAAACTTGGCCGAAACTTGAACTTCTCTTTCTGAACCGCCAACCGTTGCACCAGAAGAAAACTAGTTATGTAACGTTATAACACCTTTGTAAAGTAGAATACTAGTAATGTAAGTAATCTGTAAGAATGTTTAAAGAAAAACGAACGCAACCTACCTAAAAGATATCCTCTCTTTCTAATCAACATCT